TATATCTATATCTATATCTATATCTATATCTATATCTATATCTATATAATAGTTAGCAAGTTAATCAACAAGGAAGTTAAATTCCAGGGCTCTCTGCAACAATGTATTATTATAATTAACTCATAGAAAGTCTACAATGGTTTCTTATCTATCACAGATCATCCCAATCATTATCTCTGGTCCATCCAGGATCAAATATCCTCGTTTGACGCTTAACAATAAAACCATTCCTTAGATTACTCTTAGTAATAATGCCATTAACTATGGATTTTCCCAGCAATTGCATCTCATTCGCCAGGACTTATGTAAATATCTCTGCAGCATCCATTGTTTAAAGGCCCCTCTGAAAACACAGCAGCCATCTTGCCAAGAGAATCCAGTTCATCACACATCATTTCTGTTAGCTCTGCATTTCTTGTACTTGTGTCCTTTTCAATCTTTTCTGCCAAAGCTATAATAATCAGTCTAGATTTTCTTCTTCATGTTTGGCAGCAACAAATCAAATTCCAATTCATCAGATTACAATTTGAATCCAATTGTTATTTTCTGCTTTTCGGTGCCATCCTGGGTTTTATTCAGAACTATTTTAACCCATCAAATTTATTATTTATATCTACACTTTTAACATGGTTTTATGTGCATCATGTTTAGCCAAGGAAAGTAATGCTGCAATAAAGACAACAAAAATGATTCCAAAAAGATGGTGACAAGGATATAGCATCCAAGACACAGAATGGTACCCCAATCCTAAACAGCTCTACTGGTATAGCATCTCCAATTTGTTGAGAATTTCAGTAATATTATTTGAAACGAATAGTTTGGTGTATTGTGATAGGCAGCTGCTTAATCCTATACATATAATCAAGTCATGATTGACTTTGAAACAGGATGATTGGCAGTGTAGTCACTACAGCAAATGATAAATATTGGAGATCCTGATAAGATTTTGATGTGTTTACAGAGAGCAAAGTGAGTTGGTTACCAGAGAGTAGAGTTTCTTTGTTGAATTATGATAACCTGTTATTCAGATGAAGGTGGGAACTACTCCAGTAGCTATAAAATAGCAACAGCATGTAGAGGAGGCACCAGCGCAACTGGAGATCTTTGGTGGAAGGAGCAACATGAAGTGCCTAGCAATTCTCTTCTCTCTTGTGGCTTTTTCTGAAAGTTTTGTTCAGTCAGTTCTCATTTTATTACTAATATTTTCATCATTGACAGCTGCAATTGTTTGCTTGTTTACTTGATTTATTCATGAGCTTTCTATTTTGGCAATACAGGGGAGATGAACTATGGATGGTATATTCAGATTTAAAATTACATTGTTATTTTAATACAATACAATGCAAAGAGAAAGCAGATTGAGCCAATATTAAAGGCATCGTTATACTCTTTTGATTTTACTAAGATGTAAAGGTCATCTTAAATATTACCTAAATCAGATATTAAATATCTACAAACTGGCTAAAAATTTCAACTAATGCTTTTAAAGTTTAAAGGTGGAATAAATGAACTTGTAGCATTTTCTTTAGGCAGTCGTCTCTTCATCTCTTACATTTGTGCAATTCTTTTGGATGTATGGTTTATTATGTTCATGAGTACGAGCTGTATTAATATTTTTGCTGCTGAAGGAATCAAGTTGAAAAGATATTTGATTTAAATCCATAAATGTTTTTTTATTTAATTTAGAGGTAGGGTGGATTTCTAACTTTTTTTCATTAAAAGGAGAGGAACAACAACACAGCATCTACTCATTTTGTTTTTGTATACCAGAGTTCCCATTTGGAAAGGAGAGAAACTTAGAGATACTCTTAGTCAGAAACATTTGCTAGAAAATCTTCTACAGAAACATCATTATGACATTAGTACTAAGTACACCAAGTATTCTCCAGCTGTTTTCAATCCCGCTCAACTGGCTGATGAACCACTCTTGAACTACTTGGATGTAAGTTGCTGGTTTTCTTTTGATTTGCTAATAAAAGAGAATATATGTAGCTGAGGGTTGAACTGCGGAGTCCTTGATGCTCTCTAGCTTGGAGCCCTGTGTCCAGATAGTATGTTTTAACATGGAAAAACCTTTCCCCAAATGTACATTATTCATTTCCTGTGATAAAAACTGATATTTGAACAAATGTAAATTGTTTTACCATTATAGATGTCAAAGTGCAAGTGAAATAATGCTAGCTCGATTTCTCTTATTTATGTAGCTAAAGGGTGGCACACATATTCCGTTTATTCATTTGGTTTCTATTTGTGTAATTCCCACCTTGTTGTTTTATTCCCTTCTATGGATGTTTTTTCTCTTCCTTTATTTTGTAACACTTAGGCTTATGGTGTTTATCTCATGGTTCAATATTAAAATTGTCAAAAAGATCTACTATACTCAGGTCTTCCAACATATATTTATTATTTACAAATTAACAGGTCCAGTACTATGGAAAAATCTACATTGGAACACCACCGCAGGAATTCACTGTTGTGTTTGACACTGGATCATCAAATCTCTGGGTACCATCTATTTTCTGCAAAAGTCCAGCATGCAGTAAGTAACTGTCTTCATCAGACTTGATCAAATAAATGTACAAAATTGTATTATATTTCCTGGATAGCAGTGATAGCTATGAAAGATGCAGCTTCAGTGCCTCATAGCTAGAAAATCCTGCAAGATGAAAAAAAATGCCTGAAGCCATTGCTCTACTTAATGAAGAATTTCTCTAGAGGGATGATACTGGCATGAGATACCCTGCTCCCTAAAATCTCACCAGTGTGTCCCGAAGGCCTGCCATTGTAGCAGAATACAGAGTTAAGCACTTTCTTAAAAATGAGGAAAACTCATTTTGCAGCACAGAGGAGAAAAGCATTTGACATAGGATGGCCTTTGTTTCTGTGGAGAGGACATCTTTTCTGCCTCACCCTTCTCCTTTCAGTGCTGCTTAACACTCCGCTGGCTTGAAAAGCGGACCAAATAATAAATTAAAGGAACAGAACAAGGTCCGTTATCATGCTATTATGATGAGCCCAGGGGTAGAAATATGCTTGCTTTATTTCATTTTAATTTTTTAAAGATTGGTGGAAGGGTACAGGGCTAGGCAAGAAGCGGGCAGGATAAATGGGCAGTTGATACCAATAGAATATATATAGCTCGGGGTTCAACAGTGGAGTTCTTAGTGGTCTCTGAACTTGGTTGTTTTCTTGCTAGCATTGAATAAAACGTTTGCAAGAAAACAACCAAACTAAGAGACCACCAAGGACTCTCCAAAGCAGTTGATTTATGATCAACAACAAAGTGCTGGTTTCTTTGCCTGTTCAAGGCTACTGGCCATAAAGAGCAAAGATACCGATCGGCAGGACAGTTCAAATGCTCCATATCCACATATACATCCAAGATTCAAAAAGATGTAGAATGGTAGAGAACAGTATCCCATGAACTTTAAATAAGAATCAGGAGCATTTGGCAGTGGGATTTTAGGAACAAGGTCCACTGAGTACAATGGAATTTGGCTTCTAACAATAAGCATGAATAGCGTTTGGGTAGCAGAGTGCAATCTTCTAAGGCAGGGGTGTCAAACTCAATTTCATTGAAGGTCACATCAGGGTTGTGTTTGACCTCATGGGGCCAGGGTAGCTATGGCCAGCTCAAGGTCACTTCTGTCAGGGGTGCCTAAGATGGCCCGAATGCTCTGCCAGTGAAAACAGGCTCCTGAGCTCCTTTTTTTGGCTGCCACGGCCTCCTACAACTCTCTGCCAGTTAAAATGGAGCCCGGAGCCTGTTTTCACTAGCAGACTGCTCAGGCCACCACAAGTACCCTCGACAGGAATGACGTCGAGCGGACCACGCCCATCCTGCCCACCACCTTCCCGAGTTCCATTTTCACTGGCAGAGGGTTGCAGGAGGCTGTGGCAGCCGAAAAGGGAGCTCAGGAGCCTGTTTTCGCTGGCAGAAGCACTGCAGGCCGGTCCTTCATTGTTTCCAGGATGGCCCCGTGGGCCAGATCTAAGTACCCTGTGGGCCGGATTCAGCTCCCAGGCCTTGAGTTTGACACCCTTGTTCTAAAGAATATGTTCCACTGTTCCAAATCCACTTATGGGATTTGATTTTGGGAAGACATTTACATGACTGCACAGACAAATTTTAATTTGTAAAAGCACAGGGTAATTTTCAGCAAAAGGTTTCAAAATGGTCATGTTAAAATCAGTCTTCTTCTTTGAAGAGCGATGGAAACAGTAACGGATAGTATTTTCCAGAAATACCATTTTTAAATATTAAGTGATATTTCTCTAGTAAATAATTCTACCCACTAGTTTTATTAACTATCTATGTGGCTTTTCCTTTTAATGGGATAATAAAAGGAAAGCATTTCCTTTTAATTGGCTAATAATAATAATATATTTCAAATGCTCTGCACTGTAAAATGTTGCAATATTTTTCCTCAGGAAGAAATTTGAGCTCAATACCCACCATTGATTAAAAGCTGTTTTAATATTAATTAATGACTGGTGTTTTGTTTGTTTTTTACATTTAGAAAACCATCAACAATTTAACCCAAACCTTTCTTCTACTTTCAAGAAGACAAAACAATCTATGGCCATTTGGTATGGCACAGGAAGCATGAAAGGCATGCTAGGATATGACACAGTGCAGGTAAAACCATGCGTTCTGTAGGTACCTAAAAGATGAGCAGATAGTAAATGGTTAACAATGTTGTGGTTCACAACAATTTTGTGAGTTAAAAAAAGACATTCCTAATTCTCTTCCCTTTTTCCTGGGGTTCTAATACAGTAGTATCAACAGTATGAGAAGGTTCTTTTTGAATAATAATAATAATAATATCGAATAATTGAATAAAATGAATAGTAATAAGGGTGGCAGGAAAGCACTGGAATCTTTTATGCCTTTTTACTATTCACTTGTTTAACAACAAGCATGTACCGCTCAGTCCCGGTTTTCAGTTTTTTTCCCCTAAGTCTCCCTCCCAGAGAGTATGTTTCTTTCCAGCTCATCTGCTAGCTGATTTATCTATTTTATTTATTTATTAAATTTCTATACCATCCATCTCCCCTACGGGGGATGTTTTCCTTCTCCTTTTGCCCAATTTCCTCCTCCCATTTCTGGGCTTGCCCAAAGAAAG